GGTTGAGTAAATTTCCTTTTCCTTCCTGAGCGTCGCACTTCAGGAGAGACTTGGGGCATGTCGAGATCGAACTAGAGATCTTGATGCGTGAGCCACAGCTTTTCGCGAACCATCTGGCAGTTTGTAATATGCAAGCGCCTATGCCGTAGGAGATTACATCACTTGCGACTATGATGTCGAGACTAGGGTCGTAATGGTTGAGGGAGAGGTCTGAAGTAAGAGTTTTCTTGATATTCTCGAATGTGTCTTGGCATTCCGGGGTCCATGACCATGGTTTATCCTTTTTTAAGAGTTGGTTGAGCGGCCCTCAAATTTTGCATGTTCTTAATGAAACTTTGGAAAAAGTTAGCTAGGCCGCGGAAGCTTTGTAACGCTTGAACGTTATCTGGGGCCGGCATGTTTCTGATCGCGTTGGCTCGTATTTGATTGGACTTCTTTTTTACGTAGACCGTAGGTGCTGCCCACTCGCTGAAATCTGTTTCGGATTTTGCTGTTTTATCCGTTTTTAATAAGGTCGGCTTGTTTAATTTTCGCCAAGTACGCCAGTTAATGGTTGAAATATCAGAACCAGAGTCAAGCTGGAATTTAATGGACTTATTGAAAATATCCACAGTTACATATTTTCTTAAATTCCTATCGACAATATTGTCAGATTCAGCTTGCCTAATTTTTATTTTGGTATTTTTTCTCGTTCTGTTGGCGTACCAGCACGAAGTTACAGTATGACCACTTTTATTGCAATTTTGCAATATTTTTTGTTCTTAACTGGACAGAATTTCATCCAATGCCAATTACCACAATGGTAACATGGAAAACAAACGGGATTTTAACTTATTTGGGATTTAGTTACTGCGTAATTTAGGACATGAGATTTGCCTTTTTGTTTTTTTGAGGGGAATAAGAGGTAGACTTACTTCTGATTTTATTAATCTGAGTCACACCTGATTCCTCGATAGTGTTTGAGTCACACTTTACAGATATTACTCTTTGACAGTCCTCTGCCAGTTTTTGGAGAGTCAATCCTTGTTCGTTCTCAAGCTTGGTCAGTACTCGTCGTCTGACTTCGGCGTCTTCTGCTGATACTAGACCTTGTGCGAAAATCAAGCACTTGAAATCATCGGCAGTCAGTTCGGATAGTTTAAAATCATTGCATAGCTTGTTTACCGATGCTGCAAACGTTAGAAAATCTTGCTGGCTGTCTTTGACTGTGTTCAGGCATTTCTAACGTTTGTGGAACAAGGTTGTGTTAGACCCGAATAGTTCCGATAGGAGCTTAATAGTCTCTGAAAAATCCAAGTCAGTCGTTTTCTTGGGTAGTATGAAGTCTACGAACCTACTATGTTCTTTAGTTCCCAGTTTTCTCAATAGTAGACGTACCTTTTTTTTTTACTGGGCCATTGTTCACAGTCTACGTTGAAAATATCTTCGTAGCGCTTGTAAAAAGCGTCGAACCTATTCAAATGTTTCCATCGAATTGTAGTTTGTACTCTGGGGGAATATTATATCTTTTTCAGAGTTTGAGCCTTTTAATGCATTTACGAGTAATTCATTGTTTCTGTTGTAGTTCAGCATTCTGAAGCGTAATTTTTTGAAATTCCCTTTGTTGTTTATGTAATTCCAAAAATAGTTGTTGTTGTCTTTCTTCTGTTTTTTGTTGCTGATCCAAATTTAGTTTTAACATTTGGGCAACTACTTTTTGCAAATCTTCCATGTTTATTTAAACAAAAATGACAGCGCTTTTTTTTGCGTTGAAACGCGTGTACTAAGAGGAGGTACACAAAAATCTTGATAGATTTGTTCTTTTTTTTTCTTTTACAGAAAAAAAAATATGGACAGACAATTAGTTAAACTAAAATAATTATGTGTTTAGCTTTTTTGCAATTCCCGTGGTTCCGTTAATTTTAACGTAATTGAATAAATTTTCACCACGCTTATGTAATTTTTTTTAGAAAGGTACAAAAAGAGAAAACTCACCTCAGTGAATTTGAGGAGAGAATAATTTTATGCCCGAGTTCAACTCAGTTACATAAAAAAAAAAATTGATAGTTTTTTCCGAAAACTTGTGCCGTCAGTTTGTTTTATGAACAAACTTTCTTTTTTGTTTTCTGTGTGTGTGGGTGTGTAAAAATCGTTCTCGTATTTTGGACAGACTTTAATATTCCGTAGATGTCGAATCGCTAGTTCGTCAATGGTGTTTGGTATTGGAATATATATAGACGCTGGGTGTTTAGCTTTTAAATCGCTAATGTAGTAATACCAGCTTAATTTCACGTTCAACACTGCTGTGTGAACGCGTGGAGTTTGTGTATTTTTCGAGTACTGTCTCTACTAATATGATGAGAACGAAATTCTCGAATCTTTCTGTCGCCACTGTTGTGGGACTGGCAAAGTATTGCGGTTTTTCTAGAATTCTTCGTCGACCCAGATGTGGGATTGGTAAGGTATTTAGGTTTCTCCGTGAGTGCGTTTCTAGAATCCTTCGTAGCCACTGATGTGGGGCCAAAGTTGGGACCACAGAAGTAAAACACGGATTAGATGTAAGAAAGATATATTAACAACAGGTTACAGAGATAGTGTAAGCGAAGCTTACTATGTCACTCACTGTGACTCTCTGTCACTCTAGGGTGCTGTGTCGCCTAATTAATATAGGCCTGGAAGAGTCTATTGTGTAGGTAGTTTCCTGTCTCACAATAATATTTTATTAATCCAATAAGTAACTTTAAACGTTATTTTTAGTGCTAGAAATAAAAGTGATAAAAATTCATAAAAAATTCTAAAATTCTTTTTTTTTTTACTTTTACATACAAAACTGTGTAGCTCTTAAACGTTTTGGGACATCTATGACGAGATAAATTTTGCTTAATGGCACACATTTGGCCCCGCCTAATCGACTGTTCTCCGTAGCTCAGTTGGCTAGAGCTTGCCAATTTTAATGGTAGCTCCCTCTGCCCTGGGGGACGCTATTAAAAGTTTTGCCGGAGAGGGTAAGATTTCTCGAACATTGAGGCAGGTAGACGAAAATAAATAAATATACAGTTTAATAAATAAACGGAGCGTCTACTGAAATATGAGTATCCACTAAAAGTAACGTTTAAAATTGTAAAATACATACACATATTACTACAAATTATATTTTTAGCGGATACACGTATTTGAGTAAACGCTCTGTTTTTTAAACTGTGTTTATTTCGCCTACCGACCAGGGCAGAAAATTTTAGAATTTGTTTTGTTTATGTTTCAGACACGACACTGAGTAGATATGACTTTCAAGAAAATATGAACGAGTGGGTGTGCTTTAAAGAAAAGTAGAACCTTCCAGACTGACGGAATCGCCTTAGACTTCTACAAACGGGGATACAGGCTCGAATTCTTTACGTTTTCTTGAGTGCGCAGGTCGATAGACGTTCAGATGCTGATTGATAACAAAGAGTTTGCAATCAGCACCTGTGGACTGCATCAGAATTGTATGACTGCTGAAGAAAAATGCATATTTATTATTAATATAGATGTTAGCTCGATTATTATACATCGATTATTTCCAATGTTTCGAGTTGTTTAAAAAAAAAAAACTATTCCAAATGTTAGAAATCTTAACCATATAAGACAATTATCTTAGGATCAAAAACAAATACACACGCGCAGACGTACACGCACACACACACACACACGCACACACACATATATATATATATATGTATATATGTAAAAATTTAAGATAGAGTATATCTGTAAAAGGGTAATATGAATAAAGATAAAAAGGAAACATCCTAGTCGACGCGTACCTCAGAGGGCGAAACCAGCTGGCTAAGATGAGTTTTCCTTTCGTTTTTATTCATATATATATATATATATATATATATATATATATATATATATATTATGAGCAAGAAAAATGAAATAAAAAGTTTAATCCCAGTACCTTGTCAGTCGTCTTTAATGAAACTTGTATAAAAGAGGATTGCTGCCCAAATACAATATATATATATGAAGAATAGGCTTCTCAAAACTTGATTAAATACCAAAAGATCAGGTTTTCATATATTTTGGAAGGACTCTCAGTCGATTTGAGAACCTTTTACCACGTCTCGTACACAATACATCGAAATATCAGCTCATATTTACAAACATACGAAAGCACAGAAACGCACACTCATCCGCATATATATATATATATATATATATATATATATATATATATATATATATATATACAGAGAGACAGAGAGAGATAGACAAACAGACAGACAGACAGAGAGACAGAGAAAGAGGAGGTTAAATAAATAGATAGATAGATAGATAGATAGATACTTTGCCTATCATATTTACTCTAAATATCATAGATTTTATTTCTTTGTTCTTTTTTTTTCATCCCGTGCTCTTTCGAGCCGACCATAAAATTCTGGTTGTTCTCTTTTGATTCCATCAGTTACTAATTGGTGGCTTCTAAGAAGGGTCATTGCGCGCGGATTTCTCCCTCTGCTTCTTTGCTTGTTGTTTCATTAGATTCTTTTTTTCTTCTTCCCGATCAGTTTGATCCGTCTAGACACACTTGTCATTAGTTCATATCATTAGTCTTTATGGATTGTTGCTGACAGTTCGAAGGCTCGGGGTGGGGTAAAGGGTGATGGTTATCATTAAGTTGGTCTATGGCGGTCGGGGTAGAATCATGTGGATAACAATTCATGGAAAACGAGTTATTAAAAGAATCCTGGTGGAAATTTATCCCGTAATTTTTTTTTCTTTAAATCTGAGCCAAGTTGAAATATCTACCTACTTTTCTGTACGTCTGTTTCCCCACCTGCTTGTTAATTCCATCTTTAAAAATAAGACAAGAAAAAAAACAAAAAAACAGGAACGATTCTTCAAGTTCCAGATTAATTTTTAAAATATTCCAATGTATATGTACATTGTTTGCATGTCTGCATCTGTCTCTATTTTTTTTGCCATTTTCGTCTATATCATTCTATTTTATATTAAACTCTCTTTCATATATGTGAGGGTTACGGCCATATCACGTTGAAACAACGGTTCAAGTACGATCACCGAAGTTAAGCAACGTCAAGCTTGGTATCTAGATGGGTGACCACGTGGGAATACCAGGTGCTGTAAACTTGGATGTGTGGATTGGCGTAATAGATAACGGCTCGGAATTGGAATTATGAGAATAGGCTTCCAGTTCTATCCTGATTCTTAACAAGAAAATACTCTTGGGGAAGGGATGAAGCCACCTCTTGCCCCCCCAACGTATAATGAAAAATAGGAAAATGTCTACACAACAAATTTTAATGTTTTGGGTATGAAGATAAAGATGAAAAAGTCTATCCAACAACTGACGGTAATCTTTCGGTGTGATAATGAATATGACAAGTTCAGGGCAACAATTGTTGGTACTACTGGGAAGATGATGATAAATCTGAAAATGTCAGCACAACAATTGTTGGTAATATTCTGAGGATGGTGATGAATATGAAAATGTCAGCACAACAATTGTTGGTAATATTCTGAGGATGGTGATGAATATGAAAATATCAAGACAACAATTGTTGGCAATATTGTGAGGATGATGATGAATATGAAAATGTCAAGACAACAATTGTTGGTAATATTCTGTGAATTGTGATGAATATGAAAAAGTCAACACAACCGCAGGAAAATCTTCAACAATCAAAAATGGTACTACGGATTTTATGAAAGTACATCTGGAAAAATTGTTTGCTTTTATATTTTTCTGACAGTGTCTTGGAGCATGTTAGCAGTCGATGTAGTGAAATAGAAATTTAAATCTTTGTTCTCCAAACCAAATGCAACAACATTACCAAAACTGCCGACGACTTCGAGTTGCTGATCTCATATTTTGTTATTTCAGTTACATGCAGGATTTAAAGACGTATGTTTGTAAAATAAATAAATAAATAAAAAATTACGAAAAGTATGGGAAACAGAAAATATATAAATAAGAAATTCGATTGGAAAAAATGAACAAAAATGTGATATACCTATTGAGTTGGATAGCTATGAGTTATGTATCACGAACAAAACATAAAAACCCACCTAGAAAACCTTAAATCACATGCGGTACAAACGATGTTGTGAATTAATCATGGCATTATATTATCTTTTATATTATATGTATTTGCTTTGCTATCCACAATTGTGGTTATTTTAGCTTGCGTTAGACAAGCAGTCTGAAGAGAAAGGAACATATTAGGAAGTAGGAAGAAATAATAAAACATATTGACAAAAAGGAATCGACAATGACAAATATTCGAGACAAGACATTCAAAATAGCGGACAGCGAAGATGAGGAATTGAAAATACAACATAATGACGTCGTCTAATGAAGAAAAACCATTCGCAACGAGGAATCGACGCTAAAACATATTGACAAGGAGAAATCAAGAATACAAACTCTCGTAGATGAAGAATGCAAGAATAAACACTATGGATAAGGAATCAAGAATGCAACGTATTTTCAACCAGGAATCAAGAATAGAAACTGTTGGAGATGAAGAATACAAGAACAAACATTATGGACAAGGAATCCAAAAGGCAAACATATTTTCAAGCAGGAATCAAGTAAACAACATATTGGCGACAAGCAATCTACAATATATATTGCAAATGAAGAATCATTAATTGAAAATAGTAGCCACAACATAACAATAATACCAGCTTGTGGATGGGAAGAATTATGTAACATCTAAGTGTCGACAATGCAACAAAAAAGCGACGTGTTATCGATGAAAATCTTATTAGGGACAATGGAACGACAACAAAACATATTGGTGACCCAGAACCAAAACTACAATATAGTTATGATGAGAAATTGATAATAACAATTTCGGCGACACGAAATTAAATATCTTCAAGAGGAAACGTTGATAAAATATATTGTTGAAGAGGAATCAAGAATGCGCCATATTGGTGGTTCCTCGTCGGTAATTATCTAGGAATAAACATTGAGAATACACTATAATGGCGTCGAAAAATTGAAAACATATTGGCGGCATTCTTTTATTTGCAAAATCCTTTCAAGGTATAGACAATCATAATTGTTCACAGCTTCTACTTGATTGTAACTTTTGTCTCTATACCATCTCACATTATCCTTGACAATTGCTGTAACCTAGGGAAGATTACTGAATAGAATAATCTCACGAAGGTTGGTAATGAACGATAATACTTAGGACAAGAACAACACATAAGATTCGCCAGCGGCGCGTAGAAGAAGTAGTAACTGCGAGAGGTGAGTCAAGTGAAAATTCCACAATGAATCTCCAACTGCAGGATATCTACAAACCACCCCACGCGGTCATATTTGGCACAAGGCTGAATTCAATATGGGTAGGCTCGGCCAAAATTTTCTCGTAGACTCCATATAAAACGGGGTCGGGTAGCTGTTTCCCGAGACAAGACTCTACCCTTCGACATAGCCTCGTCTGGGGATCCTCACTGCCCGGAGGCAGAGAGTTTGACCAGCACAGCTGGAGACGAATCCTCGACCGAAGGATATCTACCAACCGCCTAGTCAGATGGGGCACAAGGTCAAATTTAATGTTGGGCATCCGGGCCCGTACGTTTCGCCAAAAATTCCCCGTAGACCCCGTATAAAATAGGGTCAGGTATCTATTTCCCGAGATGAGATTCCGCCCTTCGACATAGCCTTGTCTGGGGATCCACTCTGCCCGGAGGCAGAGAGTTTGACCAACACAAGTGGAGACAAATCTCCAACTGAAGATCAACATACAGTATCTACTATTGTATTTATGTGAATGGGGACATACCCATTATTGTGCTACAACAACAATAAAAGATATTAGGGCTTAAAAATCAAGAATACATCATATTAGCTAAATATAGTGTAGCGACGAGGAAACATCAACATAACATATTGGTGACTATCCATCAAAAATACAGTAATCGATAAAAAAATACATATTGGAGACTTACAATCATGGATCCATCATATTAGAAACAAGGGTTTGATAATACAAAATGTCGGCGAAAAGGAATTGACAAAAATGACCAGAAAACATGAGGAGAAATTAAGACTTCAACATATTTGCGTTTAGAAATGCAGAATAAATCTAGTGATAACAAAGAATCAAATATAAAAATCGCGATGAATAGAAGTGAAAAATACAAAATATTAATGACAAGGAACTGGCAATAGACTATAATGACATCAAGGAATCGGAAATTCATCATAGTGGCGTTAAGAATAAAAAAAATCAACTTGCTGGCCACAAATAACAGACAAAACATATATTGGAAACAAGTAATGATGGATATCTCATATTGATGACAGGAATAAAAAGTATCTGCCGTTAGGAACGAACAATACTTCATATTAGCGATAAGGAATCAACAATACATGTTGGTGACTTAAAATCGCAAATACAACATATTCGTGATCAGGACTCAAGAATGCAACATATTAATAGCCAATAATCAAGAATGAAACATGTTAGCAACTACGAATCAACAATACAATCTATTGGCGATCGGGAATCAAGAATACGACATATTCAGGAATCAAGAAAAATCGTATTAGCAACCAAGAATTTACAATACGACACAATTACTACCAGGAATAGAAAAAACATTATATCATACTTATTATAAAACCCAGGTTGTGTGTGTGTGTGTGTGTCTGTACGTTTATATATTGGATCGTATTTCCTACTTTTTTCAACCGATTTCAACAAAACTTCACAGGACTACGTAAAATTACCTCGCGGTGGTTCTGACAGCGCCAAAAATTGGAAAAACACAATTGTTTTTGCACGAAATCAATTTGAAAACACGATTAAGTGGCATTGCTAGAATGAAAGGGGGACACCTCATATCGAGTTATACTTATTATAAAACCCAGGTTGTGTGTGTGTGTGTGTGTGTGTGTGTGTGTGTGTGTGTGTGTGTGTGTGTTCGTTTATAGATGGGATCGGATTTCCTACATTTTTCAACCGATTTCAACAAAACTTTACTTTTTTTTGGCAGGTAGTGTTTCTTATTGTCTTGCACACTTTTTTCTTTATTTTTACATTCAGAATGCTTTAAAAATTCCATTTACAAGACAAGTGTTTATAATAAAATTCTATTCAATCGGTAGACTCATAACGACTGAAAACAATGTTTTTGTTTGAGTTTGGGTTTGACCAATTCGTAAAAAAAAAAAAAAAAAAAAAATTTAAAGACATGCGTGTCCATCAACCTTAAACAATAATCTTTGTCAATTTTATTTTTCAGTCTTTATGATGGGTGATACTTGATCTATCTCTTACTGTTACATCCCCGGGCAACGCCGGGCTCTCCTGCTAGTTAGCAATAAAGAATACCACGTATTCGTTATCAGGAATAAAAATAAATACATATTAGTGATCAAGAATACAACTTACTGGAGATGTTGAATCTGAAATACAAATTGCAGACGGGAAATCGAGGACATCATTGTCGAGAAATTTTACAATGCAAAACATAGTTGGTTTTAATCTCTAGATAATTATCTTTAAAAAAATTCTATTCTTGATCAAATAGAATTGTGCTGTTGTTTCTGAAACCATTGCTTTTTCTAAAAATATCTCCATATTCTTTTACCCAAAACATGTCACTAAGTAAATTCTATCATCGAGACTCCATAAAATAATATTTTAATTAATATCTATTTTTTTTATACTGTAAATGTTTCTGGTAAATTATTCTGTTTCTATTTCATTGTAAGATTTTTGAAGACTGAATTACTCACAAATTATCTTTGGCACACATTTGCATCTGTCAGGATTAGAGTCCCTATTCATGACCCGAGTGACAGGCTTGTTATCCATTGCGGCGTGTAAATAGGACTCATATCAGTCTTTTCGTTCCTAGTTTAGAGAAGAACAGTGATTAGTGTAAATTCGAGCTGTTTCTTAATTTTCGGCTCAATTAGAAACCGTACCTGTATCTCTAGCTTTTTGACTCTAGTATATAAAATACCTATGTCTACCTTTTTGAATCTAGCATTTTTTTAGATCATGTCGCCCCAAGCAAGGTGATAATGCCAATAAGACGCAACGGGTTACTGTAAGTGATAAAACGTGAAGACTTTAGAAGGAACCGGAAATCCATCC